CAAAGTGTTAACCGCTAAGACCTAACAACCTACTTAAGTTTGATCCACAGAATCGAAGGTAGACAGAGAGCATGTTCTCTGACTTCCACATGCTTTCTGTGGCATGCATGCACCACACACACACACACACACACACACACACACACACACACACACACACACACACACACAGTCACTATGTGCATATACATGCACACATAATAATAATAAATCAGAAAGAAAGAATTTTTGGATCAGGGAGATGGCCCAGTAGGTAAAATACTTGCTGAGCAAATATGAGAACCAACATTTGTGTTCTCCAGAAACCAAATAAAGCTAGATATAGCACCACTAGTCTGTCATCCATCACTGCTGCAGAGAGATATGAGGAGAAGACATGGGGATTCCAAGAAGCTCACAGGCCAGCTATCCAGGTGTGCACAGTAAGAAGCAATAAGGTAGAAGGCAAGGGACAACACCCAAGGTAACATCCACATCCACAACATGGTGCATACACACACACACACACACACACACACACACACACACACACACACACACACACACCATGAGGTGGGGGATTAGAGGGTTTATTAGAATCAATTTCATCATAATCTTTAGTTGATTCTTAGAATACACTAGAAACTTTAAATCAAAATCCTCTTATCCCTCCAGTCTTGGGGGACTGCATGGCTAGCATCTCCTATACTTCTCACTGCTCTTACTATAGATAGTTAAATTTTTTTTCCAGTTGCTAAACCTATTTCTCATTTCCAAAGAAACACCAAATGAGTAAATTTGTACGATGTAAAAAACAGGAAAAAAAAAATAGACGCATCCACCACTGGTCAAGAGTCCTCAGATTCTTGTCCACAGCTAATGTTAAAACTGCCATGCATCTGGAAGATGGGAGCACAGATGGTTCCATGACACAGGCTTGTCATCCCAGCACTTGAAAGGCAGAGGCAGGAGGATTGCAAGTTCAAGGCTGGTTACAGAGTAAGCCAATACTAACCTGGGTCAGTTAATGGGATCCTGTGTCACAACAAAAAGTCAAAGGAAGGCTTTGGTTGTAGAACAATAATAGAGCACTTGCCTGATGTGCATAGACCCTGGGTTCAACCTCCAGCAAAATACACACACACACACACACACACACACACACACACACACACACACACACACACTCACACGAATATTTTTGTGAGTAGAATAGATAAAACTGCTGTACTTTTTTTCTCTTTGGTTTGGAGAAGGAAAAATCTCCTTGTCAGTGACATTATTTTTTCACTGGGTCTGCAGTTACCAGGTTCAATAAGACCTGAGTCTGCAGTCCTTAGACAGAAGGCCGATCTCATTCTTCAGACAACAGCACAGAACTATGCAGATGCTCCAGCTCTGTTCAGCAAGCTGCAGAGGACAGAGCAATATAGCTCATCCTAGTCACCTTTTTGCAAAGCAAATTTAAGCAATTTGTATCTGTGGGCCATTTTACAGTGTGTGCACATACACTGAGTTAGTGCACAGCTTCACTGTTGCTGAAATATAAGAGAAGTAGGAAAGATAACACACAGTTCAGAGAGGTGGCGTGATCAAGCCACCGAATCCTTTTCACCCCATTATCACATAATGCAGAGACCAATACTCCACAGCCACCAGCCCACAGATGCTTACATTTAAATAAAATTAACTAGGAGTTGAGGGGGGCCTCTTTTGGTAAGGTACTTGCTGTGCAAGCCAGGAGACCCGAGGTGCATCTTAACAACTGAGAAGTTTTAAGTTTTCTTTTGTTTGTTGTTTAAATCCAACCATGGAGGCATCTCTTTCTAACCCCAGAGCTGGAAAGGCAGACAAAAGGATCTGTAGGGCTTGCATGGCAAGTTCTAGACTAATGAGAGACCCTGTCTCAGAAAGAAAGAAAAATAGAAGGTGGACAGTTTGTGAGGAGGTTGTCCTCTGACATCCAAACACATGAACTCATGTGTGCACACTCAGCTGCACACACATGAACACACGTGCAACGTACATGAATTCATTTAACAATAGTCAATCTGGTATAACTGTATTCCAGCATTTGGAGGTGGAGACAGGAGGATCACAAGTTCAAAGCTTGCTTGACTATAAGATCAGCTCAAGGCCAACTTTGAACTTATACTATACCATCTCAAAGTGAAAAATAAAGTTTAAACAAAAAGGAAGGAGGGCTTGGGAAATAGCTTAATGGTGGAACATTTCACCAGCAGGTATAAGATCCTAGTGCCACAAAATTAATGATAAGGTAAAAGCAAATCAAATTAACAAAACGTAAGTAAATTAATTAATTATAGTCCCTGCATTTCAAGTAATAAGAAAACACTTAAGACTGTTGGACACCATGCTGGACAAGACACAGGCAGAACACTGCTGTTAGCACCATGTGATCTGTTGACCAAGGTCAAAGCTTCCTCATTGTAAATGTCAGCAGACTAGAGTCTGAAGAATTCTTAGTGGAAGATGGCGACATGGCTCTGCAGTTACCAGTGCTTGCTGCTCTTCAGAGGACCAGTGTTTAGTTTTCAGCCCTGACTTGGGTGTCTCCAACCACCCATAACTACACATCCAGAGGATGCAATGGCCCCTTCAGACCTATGTAGATACATGTACACATGTGTCATACATTCACACAAATACACATAAATAGAAATTAAAGCATAAACTTGACTGGGGATATAGCCCAGTTGGTATAGTGTGCTACATTTGATCTTTCCTCAGAAACAAAGCAGAGACAGACAGACAATGTTTAAAAGCAAAAATCTTAAGTAACAGATCAAACCTCGGTACTAACCACTTGTGACTGTTTAACATAGAAGTTGATTTCCTCTCAATGGTGAAGACATAAGTAAATATACAAAAAAGATCATTCTCAAACTCGTGGTTCACCTTATTTTGGGAGAGAGGAAAGGAAAAGGAGAAATAGTGTAATCAAATTATAATCTCAAAAATAAAATTCAAAAGAAAAAGTTAAAAATGTTCTTACTAGCTGCATTATCAACCTTGCAGGCAGTGGAGCTCACATTAGTTACTTCTGTTTACACTGTAGCCATGTTTCCCACTCGTTGAATACCTACCTGCTCTCATGATAGACCCTTCTGTAAATGCCCAGAGACAGTTGTAGAATCTGAGCCACAAGGGCTTGCAAAGAGACATTCCTGGGCACAAATTCCATCACCACTTAGAATTTACTTGGAAACTGATATACCTATGCAAATAGCTTTAACAAACTTTGCTCTGGACAGACAGATGCACACCCACATGCATGCACGCACGCGTACACACACACACACTTCACTCAGTTGATGCTAATGCCTCATAGTCATTAGCTGACTAATTCTAACCCCTTCCTACCCCATTATATTTAATGTACATACTTGTATACTTATATCATTCTGATACATCATGAAAGCCAAGAAAAATAATCAGGCAGATTAAAAGAAGAACTCTGGAAAACTGGTGACCTGATTTCTTCATGGTCCATCATTCCTTCTCTGGAGTTCAGTGCTGGCCTGACACCAGCTTTGTTTTTATGACTCTTCGGCACATTTAATGAGTTCCCTCATTCCTCATTAGAGAGCACTATGTTTGGAACACCAGGTGGTGTCTGGCTAAGACCTTTTTTGTTTTAAATTACACGTTTTTTTCCTCAAGGAAAGCTGTCACAGAAACTCCTGGCTCTGTATGATTGGTGATTATCCACCAAGAAGTCTTGGGTGTGTCTTTAACCAAGGCTGATCCAAAGAACAAATTTCCTCATAAAAAACTGGCTCTATTGAACTATGACATATATGATAGAGGATTTCAGTCAGAAACACTGGAAGAAACTGTCAAGAGCTATTACCTACGTGTTTCAAGTTGCTTCATCTCTGTGTATAAGGCCACATGTATGACACTTGTCAACTTTGCCCTGCTGTCCTTGGGCATGTTGCTGTAGTCAGCCCTCTGACATGCCGCTTTATCCTGAGTTAGCCTTCATCCTAAAGGCAGGACTCCAACCCTGAAGGATCGCATACTGCACATTCTCATTAGAACCTGAATAAGCCCCTTGTTACCTCCGGACACTGGATCCAGTTTGTTAATTGTGCTGAGATCATTCCGTGGTGGCTGACATATTGCCCTGGTCTGTTGAGCAAGATGCCCTTATTTTCTCAGTTTGATAATCAGTGCTCCACTGCACACAATTCCTTTTCAATGTGCCCATTTGCTCTTCCTCTGTGCTTAATTGAACAACGGCAATTACTGGTACACAGAACTAAATGTTAATTATTTTTCTTTTTAGATTTTTTTCTCTTAATGATTTTATTTACAAATTGGAAGATTTTATCATATTTCCCCCTCCCTTGAACCACATTTTTCATCTGAATTTGTGTGACAAGTAGCAGTGTGGTATTTTCAGCTGAGAAGACAGAATTTTTGACAATTGTTCACTTTTGTAATAATTATGGAACATTAATAAAGCCTTCTACAAAACCATCAATGATTAAATGGCTACACACACATACACACACACACACACACAATTACTAAGAAGCTTACTGATCTGGTTTCTGAAAATCAATATGAGGCAGGAGAGTATCTACTTTTATGAAGAAATAAAGATAATTTAATAAAATTTAAGTTAATATTTGGTAAGTTATGGTAAAGCATGGTCAATTCTGGAAACCTGGAAAGTTCAGCAAAGTAGGAAGAATATTTAATCCTCACCCCCAAACCAATATCATTAACACTTAGATGCGTTTTCTTAGGGCCTCTGGGTTCTGCCTCTGAAGATATGCTTAGCAGTTCTAACCTTTAACACACAGCCAGGACAGGTCTTCAACCTCCTGTCTCCAGTATTGTTCTACTTCTGCTGTGATACTAAGCTTTCCTTAACCTCAACCTTGGATGGGAGGCCTTGGGTACTTGCTTCTCTGGTGTGGGCTCCTCACTTCTGGGTATTGCTGAACTGGGCTCTGCGTTCCTAAGCCTCATCTCTACTTGTATTTTAGGGTGGTTATGCTGCATACCGCTACGCCCAGCCCACCCCTGCCACTGCCGCTGCCTACAGTGACAGGTAAGGGTCTTCCTTCTCTCGATGACTTGAAAATAGCTGGTGGGGCAGGAAATTCTCATTCTTATTTGGTCTTGCTTGAAACATGCATGACTACTGAAGAGGATGCCCCTAAAAGTTAGGTCCCGTGGTGAAGTTATTATGCACAGGCTACATGGAGAGAAGATGGATGCTTAAGCCTTGCTCATTGTGAACTCCTCACTCTGTCTAATGCAATGCAAAGAAAATCTGCTCTGTCCCTGGATAGCTGTTTTCTGGTCTCTTTATTCCTGTGACCATGTATCTTAAACATGCAAACACACACACACACACACACACACACACACACACACACACACACACACACACAACCATTCAACCTTCTCATGGCCTTCTATGTAAGACCATAGTTTCATCTAATTCATAGGAAGAAAATGAGAAAGTAATAAGCCTGAAGATTCACTTCCTTCCCTCATGACACCCAGGAAAGCTTTCACCTCTGCCCATTGAATTCAAAACAAAGGAATGGGCAGAACATCTGGCTTTCATAAGGAGATTCATTGATCTTGGCAGTGCCCAGTGCCCAAACCTACAAACATAAGCCAACTTTCATTTGCACTGCACACCTCACATGAAGACTGGCAGCTGGAGGTACAGAAATGTGTTTGAGAAATGCAGAATTCCAAATGAATGTGTGTGACTGGCTTGGTCCCCAGGCTTTCGCGATGTGATGGTTCCTAAAACAGTTGTAGCTATTTCTATATAGATGCCTTGTTGGGGGGGGTGGGGCTGTAAGTCAGCCAACAAACAAAATGCGTGTGTTTCCATATTGAATGCGATTTCCTGGCTCTGTTCTCTGCGGACATCAATGTGAATGTTCAGGTGCTCTGCATGCATGAATGTCCCGGAGGGTGCTTATTTTCGTGATGACTATTTTAATTTAAGGATATGTTTCATGAATAAAATGGTAATAGTATGGTACCGATTTGCATGTGTGGCTGAGGCATGCTGGGTCAGACAGGTAAGCAAGCAGATCAAGGGCATGGCCCATGAAAGAGAACTGTCAGAAGACATTGGGCTTACGCCCAGCTTGTGGCCATGCAGTTCCTCTCAGTTTGCAGTGGTGCACTTTTCCTGCACCTCCATCCCATTTCTCACAAGTGTTGTTAGCTCTCAGCAGCTGCAGAATTCTTCGGCAGTTTAATAAAGCAAAATAAATCCCTGAATTTAAGATGCTGTACTTAGCTCCATGCACTAACTTGTCATAAATGACTATTTGGCAAGCAGAGCTGAGATTTGCTATCTAGCTACACACAGGAATTATTACTGCTTTCTCATGAGCACTCATAACACGTTTTCTAAATTGTAGAGAATCTTCAAAGAAATCCAAGCCACTGGCCAGACACACTTGTAAATACATGAATTATCCACTTACCCAAGCATCAGTTGCCAAGATACAAGGTGCTTCACATAAATTGTCATCTTCAGTATTCTCTGACACTGGAAAATTGAGAGGGTCAATAAGGCTAATAAAAGTGATGACAATCTTGAAATACTTGAGATCATTCTACAAATGAAAAGGCTTAAATGTTATTAAATTCCATGCACTGAAGATCCACACAGTCTCAATTGTAATGTGGCTCAGCTACAGCCCTTAATTATTTTTATGAAAATATCTCTAGATGCTAAATTCTCAAACGCCCACTTTGTATGTAATTATAATCGTAGTAACTTTAGCCTGCTGTATAATTATAAGAATCTTAAACAGATTTATTTCTTTGAGTGTTTATCTTGCTTCTCCTCAGAATAAGTGCATCTAGCCCCAAGTTGAAGAAAGGTTAATTACAAAGATAGATTTTAAATCGCCCTCTTCAATAAGACTAATTTAGACACTTGATCAAAACAAACAATGTTTAATACTATTCTTAGAGTTCCTGAGGAAGCCTACCATCTCCACTTGCACTAGTCTGAAACCATTCAAATCCTCTGCATTGTGGAACACCATATATGTAAATATCTGTATAAAACCTACAATTTTAATATTATTAAGAGTTCTCATTGGTGAAAAACAAAATACCCTCATTCTTGGATTGGTAAATCTTTAATAACTTCAATTCCCAGTTTAGTGTAACAGTTGCAGCTGAAGGAATCCACTAACTATATTCTTTTCCATGTAATTGGCCTCTTGCTGTTTATTAGAGATGTTTGCACATTAGGTCCCCTTGGTTGCTGTGGAAATTGATTACTGGCTCTATTTAACTTTATTGTAAGCAGAATACTTGTCACCTATGGAATTATTCATTGAGGTAAATTCAGTAATAGGGAATTACCAGAAAACAATCTCTAAAATGGAATTTCTGGTTTTGATTTATCACTATTAAGTGGTGGTTCCTTTTATTTTTAATCAATACAGACAAGGAAAGGGCTTTATTAAAATATATTCAGGGGAAAATGGGGGATTATCAGAATAGCTTTTGAATCTCTACTAAAAATGCAGAATCTATCAGGGCAAAGAATAATAATTTTTTTTACACAATCATACCATAGCATCAGTAGCAGCAAACTCTAACTTCCTCTTCTCTAGAAGACAGACAGAATGACAAAGAGATATATTTCTTAACCAAAAGAAACCCTTTCAAACTTGGAAGGGAAATCATTGGAGTTGGGAATGTTTGAAAAATGGTCACTGGTTGTCAATTTGATTAAAAGAAACACAGCAACAAACCTTCCCTGTGATTCGCTCTTCAGCCTTCTCCGAAGTGAAACTAAGTCTTCTGTGCTGCCCCCATGCCTCCCACTCGTGGAATTTTACCTTTACTCAACACAAATCATACCCTTATAAAATTAAAGATTCAGGAACCCTTTGAAAACTATTGAACTGCAGTAACCTCAGTGCTGTCTGGAAGGTCTTTAATGGGCACCTTGCAGCCCCCTGCCCATCATCTTCCTGCTTAAATGATCACATGCTGACAATCTCAGAGCAAGCAGCCCAAGAGTCTCTGGGTGTTGACCTCCCGAAGAAAAGACCATCTGCTGTGGGCCAAGCTTTTCCCAAACCACAAAGATTGAATTGAACTAGGTAACATCACAGCTTCTTTGAGTGGGAATAGGTGAATAACTTTCCTTGGCATTTTATAAACATTTGGTAAACACTTGACCCGATCAGTTCTTTATTTTGTTAATCTCACTTTGGTGTAATGGAAGCCAGCTGTCCAGACTCTCAAGGAGATTGTTTTCTGAGCTTGAACCAATCATAGCATGGCGGTGGGGCCTGTGGTCATCTGGTCATTGCATGCTGTTTGGTGTTGCTGATGTGTCTGTGGTATGTGTTGGGTTGGACAGGTCCATCACATTAGCTCCATGAATGGCTTGCTTAGAATAAGCCTGGGGTACAGGTCTCTTTATTGATTGGCTCTTGGTTCCTTGTGTTTTATGGCTTGGTCCTTGTTGCATCTTTCAGCTGTTCAGCTGGGAGGGGGGCAGTGGGGAAGGTACCCTGTTCAATGAATTGTGCCACTCATAGTGGGGGAATATATGTGATGTGTACATAGCATTGATGAAATACTCTGGCTAGAAAGAAACCCTGGCCATGCTTGTCCTGCTTGCTGATACTCTAACATCCCCTAAGGACTGGTGCATGAAAGTGTCCCTCCATGTTAGAGAAGAGAGTAGACACAGACAGGTTAGAAAAGAACCAAGAACAGAATGTCCTACTGTCAAGTTTAACAATAATATGGTTGTAACTGGGACCATTTCTTCTATCAATTAAAATATGATTTCTTTTCAAACAAATATAGTACTTTTTGAAAAGTAAGGTAGTACATAATACTGATAATTGAGGCATAACAATCTGTCACTTAGGAAGGAAAATAAATTCTATCAAGTTCTATTTAGGTTAGAAAGATGTGCTCATTGGAATGTTGATGTCCATTGGTTGACACTTTTAGGAAATATGTTTATGATAAAATGATTTTTATCAAATAATTTTTTTCCTAAATATATTTTCTTATATTTTTATTATAATGAGGGTTTTTGAGTTGTTATAATATAAAAATACATTTTTAAGTAACCAAGAAATATGTGTTCCAGAACATAGAATGAAATATTCACAATTATGTAAAGTTATCTTCTGGGTAAGAGAAGCTCATTAAAAGTCAGGCAAAACTATAAAACATTTATTTACTATAAAGATCTACAAATGCCAGAGTTGTATTAACATGAGAGTGCAGAACCAGACACATAGGCGTCCTTAGACTAAGCAAGGAGGCTGCGAGCAGCAGGGGTCTGCTTTCAATTTATTCTTTATTTTCTGAGACCTTAAAGTTTCATTGTTTTTATATGATAAGAAAAGAAAGTATAATATTGGCAATTCCATATCGCTCAACCTAATATAAACCAAAACAAAATCTTGTCATCTTACATACTTATAGGGAACTTCTAAGAGTTTTGAAGATAATTCTCAGAACAAAAAAGCCAGGACTTGTGGAGTTCAGACACTCATATGGTGTGTGTTAAGCACCATTCAGACCAGGTGCTCACAAGCTGAAGAGTAGAGGATTCATTTCAGAGAGAGATAGATTAGTAAATTTTTAAAAATTTAATAGGCATAATTAGGCATATCTTTGGTATCATATTTAAAATTACATAGATGATAGAGGCAGAAATGTCAAACATGTAGATGGGGTGATGGATGGATGGATGGATGAATGGATGGACAGATGGATGGGTGGATGTGAAGAGAGATAGATGATACTTAGACCCATGGGTGGGTGGATAAAGGAAGGAAAGAAAACAGAAAGGAAGGAAATAGAAGCAGGATAAGCGGAGGAAAAGAGGGAGCAAGAAATGAAAAGGGAATTGTCAAGAGCAAAACACCATCTTTTTTCCCTCTTTTATTGCATCATGAGCAAGTCTACAGAGAACAGAATGAAATTCTTATGTAAAACCTTAGTCTGAAGACTGAAGCAGCAGAGGGATCTGAGTCCATTCCCACTTGTGTAACACAGCCCCTCAGTCTATCTTAG